ATGTGAGACATGCTAAACACGCAACTCGTCGAATTCATAGGTTTCCAATTTCGTATTAATGGTTTTAATATTTCGAAATAATATATTTATCCACTTCGTAGCCTCGGCGCAGTACTGTTGATTTCATTTCGTTAAGCTGTTTCTGTTATGCCTGTATTGACACCTATTTGTTGATGAATAAATACTGAGTATGAAATTATTGGTTGCCTTTCCAAATCGTCGTTTCGATGGTTACTTCCAGTAGCCGGCAATACGATCTTATACGAACACTTATGTGATTATTCTACAATTTTTCATGACTTTTCCGTGACTTATATGTTTCCTTCTTTTTCATGTGGTTCATCACTTCAATGTAATGTCTCGCTCGTGACACACTCGATTTTCACTACTTTCTTTTAACACTTCCGTATCATTTCTATTCAAATGATATCGATCGGTTAGAGGTTTGCGTAAAAAAAGCTGCAAATTTTTCCATTTTCTGAATTTCCAGGATCTTTCGTTTATTGATATGGTCAATGTCGAAAACTATTTTTTTCGGTTTTGTGAAGGAAATAATCGCATTAAGGAGATATCTATTGTTGATTGCATTATGTGGAATCTTAGCGGTTCAGTCAGTTTCGGATTCGCAATTCTCGCTCTCCTGATCAATTCATATGTAGTTGTTTGCGCATCTACTCTAGCATCTTGAACCATTGTGATAAATTATTCACAACCAGTTCTGACAACCGCTTTCGAATTATAGTCCTTTGCTCATATTGTCTCATCCGATGTCCAGTTCAGTGTTCGTGTCCTGCTACTAAATTTTCGTCAGCGAGTTATTCTATATAGGTATAGGTAGTGACAAGCCTGAGCGCGATTACGTGCAGGTCAACAGACTAGTCGTGAGGCGCATGCGCCACTTGCCACTACTTCTCTCTAATACAATTTACCTACCATTCCTCACTTTGAGTGTGCATGTGCGACCGATGGAACGGGGCGGATGGATCCTTCTCCCCTCCTAAAGACATCATTTTTCCATCACCCGATTGTGCGTTTCTTCATGTGATAGGTAGGCATTAATCACACGTGAGATAGAATGTTGCATGGTAATCGTGCGATCACTCAAGCACCAAACTGCAGAATTATGACTCAACTCCAAAAGTTAACCTTCCTCCCATGCAGGGTCAACCCTGCGTTGCGCAAATTCCCAAATTTTTACGACCCCCTTCCTTTTCGGGGGTATCGGTACGACCCCCCCCCCATATTAACTATCATTATCATGTCTTTCACATAATTTAATGCTCATCAATGCTCATCAAATGAAGTTTTATTCATTAAATAGAAGGAATTTTCAAATTTTTGCGTAAACCAATACATCATTTTAATCGTAAAGATTTCTACTTTCAGAAACCCACCAGGATTTTTTCGATCTCTCAACTTTCCTTACCTTATAATCTGAAAAACTAAACCTTGTAGCAATTACATTGCAATCCAAACCCCTCCATTCAGAAGGTTATATATTTTTTTAGAAGCTGTTTCATGAAATCGGACACCAAAATTTTGAAAATATAAATAGTTTTCTTCCTGAGGAGTATTTGAAATGTTGTGGATGTTCAATATTTCAAAAAATCGTCCCGTTGTTCCGTTTTCTGTGCACACGCGAGTTTTTGACATTCAAACATTCATAACTTTCTTCATAATCAACTTTTTGCAAATGTCTAAGGCTAATTAGAAACTAGAAGATTAGAGCTTTCGAACAAGCACCTGAAAATTTTCCAGCGATCATTTTTTCAAAAAATAGTCCCGTTGTTCCGTTCTTGGGTGGTTTGGGGTCCGATTTTTGAGAAGGCGCGAGTTTTCGACATTCAAACGTTAATAACTTTCTTCATACTCAACATTTTGCAGATGTCTAAGGCTAATTAGAAACTAGAGGATTAGAGCTTTCGAATAAGTGCTAAAACTTCTTGAAATAATCACTCGCTCAAAAAATAGTCCCGTTGTTCCGTCAATTCCACCTTGATTTTTTTCAAGCCTTTTTCCTGGACCGCGACTATGCAGTTTTAAAGGCCCATAACTTCCTTTGAAATTAATGTGATGAGAAGCGGTAAAGATTGTTGGAATCCACTCGAAGAGTACTTCATAACAACTGTGAAATTTCCTGAAATTCCTTTTCTGCTCAGCATTCGCTAATTTGTTTCGCTTAGATTTTATTTGAAAGCATCAAAAACTCTCTTCAGAAAGTTTGTCTGCTTACGGCCGCTGACAGAGGAGGCGTTTTTATGGAAAACGCCTGCTCGGGTATACGCCGTGCACCTATCTGTGGGCAGAATTCGCACTCGCATTTGAAAGTCTTCTGTTTTCCTGAAGAAGGTGTTAGTATCCTGATTGAGTTGTATTGTGCTGTTATATGGCACTCTTGTTTCACTTTCCCATGAACTGCTCTACACTTTGTTCTCCTCGGGATTTCAGGAATGTTTCATCATCGAAGACAGACCATGTTTTTGCACTACACTGTAACAAAGTTTTTGGCTATTGTCTATTGTACTCTTGATCTATGCCGCGGAGCAAAAGCGCCGTCCGGATAGCGTCGCTTAAGGATAATAAGCTGATGGTGAGACTTATAGTGCTCTGCATGCTTTAATGCTCCCATGGAGCTCATGTCTGTATGACTCTCGACAGCGTGCATAGCTCCTGGAGAAACATTAGAGGTGGTGTACGGCGGACACGCCCTTTCAAGCGGTATTGCAGCGTTTGTGGGATACGGACCTCTTTTTGTTCGTGCATGAATACGACTCCCTCGTTTGGTTTGGGGAGCAGGGTTGAGCCTGCTCCATGTAGGGAGGCAAGCGTAGCATGGGTGTTGGGGGGGGGGTGAAAGCTCGAGAGCCCTATGGCTTGCACACAACGGTTGCCTGTATCCATTGACAAGGTTAATCCTACTCCCTTGACTGTACATGTTGCAGTTAGGCTTTTTTCTCCAAGAATTTGCAGCACAGTAAGAACAGGGCTTCAAACTGCAGCTCGATTGAGATATTACATTTCTTATCCCATTCCTCGAAAACAGCCGAGTTTTCCTCACCGAATCTGTTCAATGGATTTGGCTATTGGGTTGCCTTCAGAGGTAGTTCAACCCGTTGAACGCGAATATCACATCCGTTTAACGCGAAAACGCCTAGGGCCCTCACCACAAGTGCTGGCGTCAAAAGGCGGAAGAACGCCTCGAATAAGTTAATTTAAAGTCGAGTATAGATACTCTGTACCAATATGACACCGTGCCACGCGGGACTTCTTGTATACTCGACCTCAAACTTGGGTAATTAAACTTTAATACTAAATAAATCACTTACAATAAATCGGCTGAACAGTAAAAATAATCTGCAGAATCAATAAAATCAATATCTACCTTATGCAACAATTTTCTCACTTTCTACAAGGTTCAAGTTATCGTGCTCGTGTTCTATAACGATATAGAAGAGGAATACCTTATAGTGCTCGTGCAACCTAAAATATCTATTTAAATACACACAGGTACAAGCAAATTACTAAAGTAAAGGCAAGTTACAAAGTAAAAGAGGAAGTAAAGAGAAAGAAATGGCGCACGAGATGAGAGAACTGAAGTGAACCTTGAGTCATCGGTTTAAATAGAGACATTAATCAGATAACACAAGAATTCAGCGAGAAAATGCATCTTAAAAGCCTAGCTAGAATATATCTCTCAACATATCTCTCAAATGCTAATGTTTCCGGACAAAGTACGATTTCATGGGAAAGAAATGATATTACATTTTTGCAAAAGAAACGTAGGCAGTTCAAAGTCCTAATCGAATACTGAATTGGGATTCAGTATAGTCCGGCCGGCCTAGCGTGAGTCCACTGGGATCCGTGTTCCTACTCATTGTCTGTATCAGTCGTTCTCTTGTCAGTGTGGGATCTTCGTGAGGATCCGCTCCCATGTGTCGTTCCTCCACGACGTGGTGGCGTTCGCGCATCTGGAGGGTTTCTGAACTCAATGCTTTCGAGTGCTCTTTCGCATATATCTATTATCACTTTGACTTCCCTTCTTCGTTTCAGTCTGTTCTGGAACTCCTCCGGTTTCCTGCAGACGCTACAATGATGTTCGAAGTCGTCGAGACTATCCTTGCAATAGAAACATGGAACGTGCTTGGTACAGTCCTTCTGATAGTGGTATCCAATGCATAGACGACATCGTTTTTCTACGTTGATCATCTCGATTCTTTTAGCCACGCGACGGACTTCTGGGCACGCGTCTGAGTAGTGCCTTCCGATCGTCTTGCAGAAGATGCATGTCAAATCACCCTCATTCTTCTTCAATACCCTATCGCCAAACCGACGTTCCTTGACGATATTGCGGCTGAGGAAGTCATCAATTTCCTCCAACTCAAGTCGACTCTCTTCAAGCATCGTTTCAAACTTCGGCTTTTCAGCTAGTGAGATGTCAAACCCTTGGAATCTTCTCTTATCTCCTGCTCTGGTATGACTCGAACTCGCCTGATCTTGTTCAACTATTTTCTCCTCATTCCATCGACGCATTTCCTTGAGGTTCTCCTGGAACTGAGCCTTGAGTTGCTGGCACTCTTCCATGCATCTCGTGATTTGTGCTGTGATTTCCTTTTGGCTCTCGGTAACCTTTCTCAATTCCTCCATCATTGCTTTGGAGCTCTCAGCACTCTTTCTGTTCTGCTTCTTAATCGAGTCATAGCAACTTTTCATGGTTTCCATGAATTCTACGCTGTCTTCGTTTTGCCTTCTGACTTCATCCTGCAGGTCCTGACACGATTCACGCATCTGACGTAGCGCCTCATCTTCCAGCGTCGCCTTGCAACGGGTTTCCGCTTCTGCTCGTTCACACGCTTCCTTCTCTTCTTCAAGCAAGGTGTCGAACTTGATTAGCTGGTACTTGATCATGTCTGCCACGTCCTTCCTATCGAAACTCCAGTTCGTCCTGACTGGTTCCGGGTAGCTACGGTCTCCAGGCTCTGATGCCTCGATGTGCTCTTCCTCTCCCAGCTTGCGAATGAATTCCAGCCGGGCCAGCTCGTCCACTTCCCCTGCGGTTACTAGTATCTCGTACCACTCATGCCCCAACACGAACAGCTCGGTAGCAGAGACGATCTCTTCCCTCTGGTGTCGATGGGTTGCCGATAGCTGCTTGAGTTTCACTAGGTAGTGGAACGCTCCCCCTCTTCTGTTGAGTAACTCCTGTTTGTCAGTCATAATCGCAGCGTACTCATAACGCGCCTGTTGGAGTGTCATTCTTGCTTCATGGCACTTAGTTCCGTAATAGCGTATTCTCTGCTGGACCAGTTCTTCAGTTGGTCGTGCCTGTGAACTTTCCACGATGGCGATCTTCCTGCGCAATTCCTTTCGGAGGCGATTCTCGAGGTTCGCGGAAGTTGACATTCTGGAAAGGATTCGTTCACTCATCCTTTTTTTTTACACAGAGAGTGGTGGCCATTCCGAAGCTGTTATTAATGCAATCTTCTTATTGTAGGTATCAGTGTTCGTGCTCGTGGATCTTAACAGCATTAGTAGATCTTCTCTTCTGGTTTCGTAATGCTGTTCCTGTGTACGTGGTGTAGCAATTTCACTGGTACACAGACGATCACTCGCACGATCTGGAAGAACAATCGAGTGATTAGTCTTATGAAGCGAATGATGATCTTAAGTATAAAGAAACATGCAGTATTAGTTACCAGGACGTATGTGCTTAGAAGAGCCAGAATAACTAGCACGGCTGTGATAGCAAGTGTTCCGCTCCACCCTAGGAAGACATCCAGGATATGTCCGATATCTGGTAAGTTAATTTCCGAGAAGACTTCACTCTCTCCTTGGAGTATTCTTCGAATGGCTGTATTCAGGATACCAGTATAGCGAAGAATTCCATCTATTTCAAACGTTTGCTGAGTTCGGCCGCATTGTGAAGAACATCTGATGTGGAACTGCGCTCGGGTCGATGTGAAACGAAGCTCGGATTTGGATCCTTGAGAAGAACAGGGAACAGTGAATGCGTAGTTCTCACATTGAATTTCAGCTCTCTCTTCCGGTGTTGACGATGTGCACACTATTTCCGCTCGTGCTCCCTTTGCACAGTTGTAGCATCCAGTGCATTCGGTACTTTCCACTGAGCATACGGCATCCGATGTCACTGTAGTCGTACGCAGTTCGTCTCTGATTCTTACTATGAATTCTGCTGTTGGCAAGTTTGGTATTTTAGCCATCAGTTTTCCTCGCAGCCGAAACTCCACATTTGGGCGTAGAATAGGTAATCGATGCTCCGGATTCAACATATGAGCAGTAAGGTTCAGATCTTTGCAATCGCACCGCATTTTTACTTCTGCTGGAGTGCATCTACAGTCTTCTACTATCTCGCATGACATATTTTTCGCTTGTTCCCAAGTACTGCATCGTAGTGGTGGAGTATATCGTGCCGGTGCTAATGCTGTATGATTTCCGTCTGTGATGAAAAGGGAGTTCAGCAACGGGGTGGGAGGTACGCTCACTGATGAAAGTGTGACTGTGACGGGAGGTAAAATCCGAGGTAGGTTTGGTGTGAGATGGAAGTTGTGCACTTTCATGTTTCTGTTTGCTCTGCTGACCGTCAGTTGTAGTTGCACCGACTCTTTCCATCTTGCGCAGCGGAAGATTTCGTAAACAAGTTCATCATTTGGAATAAGGTATATTCTGTAGAAGAGACAGCCTGAGCTGGGATACAGGCAATCGCAGCCTAGTCCTCCGCAACTCTCAGCGCATCCGGTCACGCCTGGGAGATGGTTAACTTTTTCGAGCTCTTTCACTTGAGACTGTCGACGTATTGCTCCACACTTTTCGTCAATGCATGATCCTTTATGGGCGCATCTCTTGCTGTCTAAAAGCCCGTAGCGAGTACTGCGTGTGAACATTATGGTTTCACTTTCACAAGTCAAGTCCAGCGATTTCCACAGCAACTTGATTTCCAACAGATTGCTGCGGTTGTTGGTCAGGCGGAGACAAGCTTCCTGCTTGAACGGATTGATCTTTACAATTTCTAAGGTGTCCACAGTGCATGACTCTCCTTTGTCAAAATGTCGACATGATTGAATCCGATAATCGAAAATATCGACCTCCTGGCATCCGCTTGATAGTGTGGAATAGGTGGCAAGAAGAATAGCGATTTCTGACCACAAACGGCGGCGTCTTGTCCTGTGTGCTCTGTGGCAAATCCTCGTGAACATGGAAGATATCGTTTTCACTATAAAAATGAATACCGCTTTTAGTGAAAGCATTCCAATGCGTCCCAAAATGCGAAAGATGCACAGCAGTGGGTTTCCAACTATGACTGGTACGTGAAAGACGAAATAGCAAAGTGTTATCAAGGTGTATACTAGGACACCGGTGAGAAAGATTGCCGTGCGCGGCCAGCATTCCGGATTGGCTATTATTGCAATGCAGAACGTACAGTCAATTTGGTCACAGAAAGGTGCTGCCATGCACGTAGTCTCCATCACGTCGACCTCGTTTCCATTAAAGATTTTCCATTTCACATGGTGTTTATGCAAAACAACATGAGGTGGGAATAGAACTACTTCTTTCTCTCGTGGGCTGTTGTATGTCAAGCAGTAGTCTTCGGCGCAAACTTCGTACTGGTGTCGTGACTTCTGTAATAGCACGACTCCTCCTTCCGTGCAGTGGAAGTAGTGGCTCTCGTTGGAATTTTCGGCCAAAGAAAATCTCATTAGGAAGCAGAAGAAAATCGTTAGAAGGAAAGGCATGCTCTGGACATAATTCATGTGGGAGTGGGCGGAGTGGTGGGAGATGGGGGCAGGTGGTAGGGGAGGCTCATCATAAGATGAGAATGGGGAAGGGTGGGTCGGATGGGATAGGTGGGGTGAGTGGGATGGGTGGGGATAAGGTTTTGAGGGAGGGATGGTCTTTCCTTCGTGTTTGTTTTCGTGGTCCTCGTCTTCTTCTTCTTCTTCTTCGTATGAGACTGGTTTACGTTTGCGTAAGTTGTATTGCGGTGGCGGAGAGGATGTAAGCGAAGGTGTGGACGGGATATCCCGGAAAGATGTCTCGGTCTCATGCTGTATTTCTAATGGTATTATCCTATTTACTGGACGTCGCACACGTGTCTTGTTTGGCAGCTCAACTGTAACTTCTCGTACAGTACCATCAGACGCATTGTGTCGTAGCTCGATGATGCGTCCAATTTTCCATGTGTTCCGAGGTTGTACTGGTTCACTCAGCAAAACGACATTTCCTTCCGCAGGTTTCGTGTTCGTACCACGTTTGTTGTCCATGTGAATTTTGTGGTATTCTCTGAGGTTCGTGAGATATTGCGTGCTCCAAATTTTCCAGAACTTTTCTGTAAGTCCCACTGATGACTTGAGGGCCTCTTCCACTCGGTGCTGCGTAGCAAGTTGCTGTGCTTCCTCTGGGGTGTGATATGTACTATCTCCACCTCGTGTATCGGTGTACTCCAACGGATAACCGAGGACGATTTCGTTTTGCAGAAAATCGATGGGACGAAGAATAGGTTGCTGATCCCATTTCTCTTCTTGGTAAGTGAGGGGTCGTGAATTGAGCACTGCCTCGATTTCTGTGAGCATTGTTCGCAGGACATCGAATGACACAACCCGCTTTCCGAGTGCTTTATATAACGAGTGCTTTATGGACCGAATCAACCTCTCGTAAAATCCACCCTGCCACGGTGCGAAAGGCGTGATATGAATCCATTCTATTTCTCGTCGTGCTAGGGCACTCTCTACAGTTTCGTCTTGTAGCATTCGTTTCATCGCGTCGGACAATATTTGCTCTCCCAGAACGAACATTGGCGCGTTATCACACGTGATTGATTTCGGTACTCCCCGTCGCGCAAAAATTCGACGGAGTGCGTTCAGAAAGGCTTCCGTTGTCATGTCTTCGACGAGTTCCAGGTGGATCAATCGTGTCGTGCGACATGTATAGATACATCCGTAAGCCTTTGACCCCTCTTGTTTAGCGTCGATCACAACAAGCGGTCCAAAATAGTCAAGGCCAATATGCTCGAATGGACGTGACCTTTGGACCCGTGTTTCCGGTAGTGCTTTCATGTCAGGGTAGCGAAATGGTAAATTATTTAGCTTCTGACACGGCAGGCATGACCTGAGGATTTGCGACACTTGTTGCCGCAGTTTGGGAATCCAAAAGGTTTGTCGCACAGTAGCCATCGTATGCGCCACTCCCAGGTGATATTGTGTGTGCGATTCCCAGATTATGAGACGAGCAAGTGCTGTTTTGGGCACTATAAATATAGGTATCATCGCAGATGACGGAATTGCGGCGTGCTGGAGACGACCGTAGCAGCGAAGTATCCCTTCATGATCTGGCTGTATGTTGAGATCCTTTTGGGATGTAATGCGATGTTTGTCGACCATTGAATGTTGGTGGTCCCGAATGATGCACTTCTTGGCCTCTCTTAGTTCTGGACCAGATAGTTCGTGCTTGAGGGACACGGTACGCATTGCCGGGATCCTTTCAAAAATGGCTTCCCTTCGTATCTGTGGGAGGTGCTGCAGTAGTCGGTAGATGAAGCGTAATACATAGGCCACAACTCTTTGTGCCTTATAAAGGCTGTGAAATCGAGACAGGCGGAATAAGGTCGGTTCATCCATCTCGGTTCCCTTTAACGTCAGCAGCGCTGTAGCGTCGTGACTAGTTTCTTCGATTGACTTAGCGAGTGAAAACATTTCCTTATCTTCAAGTGTTCGCACTACGTCTTCATGTATGAACTGCGGCCCACTCCACCAAGTGTGTTCCTGGCATGAAGCTGAAGTTAGCCCCCGTGTTGCACAGTCTGCTGGGTTGGACGACGTGGGTACATGCCCAAAGAAAGACCATCGCTCCTTGTTTTTCCAGGTCGCTGACAATGTTGCTCACTTCCTTGAGGCGATTGGCAACCAGCACTCCAACCGTTTGGCGATTAGGAGAGGAGTTAATCCAGCCAAGTACAATCTCAGAATCGGTGAAGAACAATATTCTAGGTATCTGGATCACCTTGCTCAATGACGAGAACACGAAGTGAGCCAGTCTTGCGCCAAGTGTTAGAGCATTCATTTCCAGTTTCGGGATAGTGATTGCTGTCTTTATTGATGGTAGCTTCGATTTGGCCATTACTAAAGCAGTTGTCGATGCGGAGCCAATATACACACATGTAGCCATTGCAAATTGGCTAGCGTCCGTGAAGACAAACAGAGTATGGGTGTCGTCGCAGTCGGCAATTCTCCTTTCGATCTCCTTATAGAACGTGGCAATTCCACTCGAAATGGAGCGCCACTGAACCTGTAGATGTGGTGGCAGGGGCGTGTCCCAACCGTAGTCATCCTTCCACAGGGATTGGAGAAAGACCTTCGCTGGTAGTAGTACCGGGACCATTAGTCCTAGTGGGTCAAAAACTGACGCCAGTTGCATTGATACTGTGCGCTTAGTTATGCTCTGTGAGGCGATCATCTTGCCGTGGAGTATTAGCTTGTCGCTGTTAGAATTCCAAGGTATTCCCAGGACTTTAGGGCATGAAACGTTTGTACGATCTTTACTTTCTATGGTGCCGTTGAAAAGGTCGTCATTCGATAGGAACTCTCTGAGGTTCATGTTGAGACCCTTGAAAATTTCTTTCGATATGTGGTATTTGTCCACTGCTTCCTCTGAGGACCGTGCTCCAATAATCAGATTGTCGACGTAAAGATTTTCTTTAATTTCTTTGGCACTATCCATATTGGAGGTCATGTGGTCCAGATGAAAGTCAATTGTGGCTCCCAGTAAGAATGGTGATGTGTTCAGTCCGAATGTGACTCGAGTGAATCTATAGGTCACTATGTTGTCGGGGTCAGGTGGGAGGGAAACGTCGCGCACCCACAAACAGCGAGTGGCGTCTCGGTCGATCTCTTGTAGACGCACTTGTAAAAATGCCTTTTCGACGTCTGAGATTATCGCGATTGTGTATGCGCGAAAACGAAGTAGTATTGATACCATATCTGGAAGTAAAAGCGGGCCTTGGTGGAGAACGTCGTTCAAGCACGGTTTGTCCTTGTAGTGGGCCGACGCATCGAAGACGATTCTCATTTTAGTGGTTTCCTTTTCAGGGGTTATCACTGCTTGGTGCGGAAGGTAGTGAACGATTGTGCCTTCCAGCCTCTCCTCCTGCTCCACTTCCTCGATGATTCCTTTTTCTTGTTGCTCTTTGAAGATACTGTCGTACTGTCGAAGAAGGTCTTTCTTTTGTGCGTACATTTCGAGTACTTTATGCAAGCGTTTCAGAGCTATTGACTTGTTATCTGGCAAAGAAGCGCAGCTCGTTTTCCAGGGTAGTCTCACGTAGTATCCGTCTTTGCGCCTCTGTATGGTACTGCGAAAATCTTGCAAAACTTGGTCGTTAATTCTTCGTAGCTCTGTACGGGTTGCCCCTGAATATTCTTCAGTTCCCGACGACTCTAAAGACCAGTAGCGATCCCAAGTATCCTTTTCCATTTCGGGATTCTGGATGGTAAGAGAGATTGCCGATGCCACTGTCTTTTGTGGTCGTTGGCCAGTGACAATATACCCGAACTTCGTTGGTATGAGTTGAAGTCCAGAGGGGAGGATGAGTTTGCCCACTGGCAGCATGAAGTCCCAGAGATAGTCGCACCCTAACAGGATTTGAGGTTTGACCGCTGTAGACTTCCCTTGTTGTGACAATACAATTCCGTGGCGGTCAATGAATTCCAAATCTCCTTGGTCGAGGTTAGCTTGTTCGATAGCTCCAGTTATGTACTCGGTTCGGAGCAGACGAAGTTCGTGCTGACCACCTTCGATATCACGAACGTGAAGGGTAATTACGTCACAAGTTTTTTCGGACGGATTCTGTGAACCAAACGTGCTAATCATGAGTGAAACGCTCTCAACCACTGGTAGTCCTAGTTCCTTGGCAAAGTCTGCCGTAATAAAGGAAAGTTCCGACCCGGTATCCAGTAGTACTGTTGCTTCACGTACCGTTCCCATCGAATCCAGGATGTTTGCTGAGCCAACCAAAAGAATGACCTTGTTATGTACGCTCCGAGGTTGCTGATTCATCTGCATCACGACTGCCTCGTTTTCGTCCTGTTTTGGGGAGTCACTTTCAATTGTAACGACATGTTGTTTCGATGGCTTGCTGAACTTATTTTTTGAAGACTGTGCTACCGTGGGTTTCGATGGTTGTTGCTGTACCATCTGTGGTGAGTCTCGTTTGAAATCCTTATGTGCAGCGAGACCTACGCTCTTACTGCAAATGGCCGTATGGTGCTTCCCGTGGCACTGCCGGCAGTTTCCTCCAGTACAGGATGCCACCCTGTGTGTGTTTGATCCACAGTTGAGGCATCTGTTAGATTCTAGAAGAAATGCCTTGCGGGATGATGGGGTTGGGATTTTGGGACATGTATTCCACTTATGTCCTTTCAGTTTGCAGTACTCACAAGTTACTGCATATGATCCTCTGCTCTGTTGGACCCGGGGTGCTTCCCGTTCCTTTTCTCTAGGTAGCAACTCCTGCAGCCTTTCTTCTTCCGAAATAATGTTATCTATTACGCTGAGCCATATGTCTAGCGTCCAGTCAAGTTCTCCTTCCGTTTGAGTGGGATAAGATTCTTCTTGAGGAAGCGGTAACTCATGCCTCATGCAACGCTTTGTGGCGGCTTTCTGGATTCTTCCATGGAACTTTTGAAGGAAGGTATGCACGGCTAGGTAATTATCCAAATGTTCTCCATGGTCTTTGAGTTGGGTTGCTATTGAGGATAGCTTCTCAAAAAGTTGACGTTGGTCCTCTGTACGAGGTCCCCGTGCCGCACAAAGGTTCAAGTTTCTGTGCAATTCAAGGACTATACCATCTTTATGGCCATATCGTTTTTTCAAATGATCTATGGCTTTATGGTAATTTGCAGCAGAAACCTGAAACCTGGATATCGACTGCCTTGCTTCGCCGCTTAGCGACGACAGCAGGTAGTTGAATTTTTGGAGGTCCGTAAGTTCCTGCTGGTGCACATTTGCTAGGAACAAGGTCCAGTAATTATCCCATTCCCACCGCTTTCCGCTGAAGTTCGGAATGGGTATTTCTGGAAGCTTACTGATGGAAAGAGGACTTGGAGCTGTAGCCTGAAGCACCAGGTTCTGATTGGTATTTGCCGTCTCCATACAGTCCTCCCATATCCCCCACAATAGGGTTTTGAAATTATCCAGTTTCACTATGACGTCATTCGCAGATTCTACATACTTATCGTACTGAGCGTCGTCATCTGCTGAGCGTTCTTCCAGATTCTCAAAGGCTTCCGCCAATTTCTGCAGGGAAGACTCTACAGTTCCGATGCTTTCTTCACACACTTTGAGCGCAACGCGTACGTCTCTGAGTCGCTTCGGTTTCTCTGTTTCTAGCGGTGGTGTGAGCAAATTTTCGTTGGCTTTTAGCCATTCCGTGATGGAGTTGAGACGCCTGGTCAATAAAGATTTCTGTCCCCTGACTGATGAAGCCATACTGCGTTACTCTTATCTTACAGGGAAACCGTGTGGTCAAAATAAATGGTTTCAGTACCACTTTGCCGAAAAAAGCCAAGAGAATCGAAGATTTCGTGCTCGTGCTCAGCAAATCGTTGACAAAGTAACCGTAGACAGAGCAAAAGACGGAATCGAGGCGATCCAATGAAAGCCGTACCTGTCGTCTGGATATATGTCCAACAATAATCTCCGGGTAAAGATCCACTGATGCACCACTAAAGTCGAGTATAGATACTCTGTACCAATATGACACCGTGCCACGCGGGACTTCTTGTATACTCGACCTCAAACTTGGGTAATTAAACTTTAATACTAAATAAATCACTTACAATAAATCGGCTGAACAGTAAAAATAATCTGCAGAATCAATAAAATCAATATCTACCTTATGCAACAATTTTCTCACTTTCTACAAGGTTCAAGTTATCGTGCTCGTGTTCTATAACGATATAGAAGAGGAATACCTTATAGTGCTCGTGCAACCTAAAATATCTATTTAAATACACACAGGTACAAGCAAATTACTAAAGTAAAGGCAAGTTACAAAGTAAAAGAGGAAGTAAAGAGAAAGAAATGGCGCACGAGATGAGAGAACTGAAGTGAACCTTGAGTCATCGGTTTAAATAGAGACATTAATCAGATAACACAAGAATTCAGCGAGCTAGAATATATCTCTCAACATATCTCTCAAATGCTAATGTTTCCGGACAAAGTACGATTTCATGGGAAAGAAATGATATTACATTTTTGCAAAAGAAACGTAGGCAGTTCAAAGTCCTAATCGAATACTGAATTGGGATTCAGTATATCCAGAACACATCTTGTATAGTGTATGGCGGCTATCGGGGTTAACACGTCCGAACAACGTCGTTCTTTACCGTCGCTCATCCATGGTCGAAAATGAAAGGGCAATCAAAGGGGTACTATTTTGCTTATTTTCGACGGATTTCTTTGCTTTTTTCGCCATTGGCGTACTATTGAGACCCCCACGTCCCCTCTAAACCCCTTTGAGATCTATCGTAATCGCTTCCTTTAACAGACTGCCTAGCTTCTCCTTTCCCGGAACTTCCAATATTTTAATGAAGTCTTTGATGCTGGACTTGTTGAGAGATGCTGCTGGAGGTTTTGCTAGTATTGTAACACATTTTAAACTTGTGAATTTTTATTAGTGACATGTTATTCTCAACAAAGATTACATGTTTTTTTGCAGTTAGCTTTCGCAAGACCGATTCTGCCAGGATCAGTTGAGGTGCACCAGCCCCAGTTCACGTAGTTGGCGCAGGTCGTCGGATTGTGGCGGTCCTTGCACTCCTGAGAGGCGATTCCATTCACAACAAGAGCAAAGCTATCTCCATGAAAACTCTAAACCATTGGAACGTACGTTTTCAATATCTGCTTGAGTAAAGGTGCTGAGGAGCATGAGAGCGATGAGCACGTAGAAGAACATCGTTGTCACCAGAACAGGAATGTCGTGTCCACATTTCGCCGACCTTTTATATTATCATTTACGTGCTGTTTGGTGTATTTGGCTATCTGATGTCTCTTCTCAACTACTAAAGAATTTTTTGCTATTCCAAATGTATTACATGTTATGTTTGTGCAAGGACCACTGTCAAATCCAATATGTTCACTAATAGTATTGCTCTGTTTCATGATCCGTCAAAGTGGAACAGAAACAACGCTACCGATTATACGTTCGAAAATGGGTAGCGATGTGGTGTTTGAAGCCCAGCTCCTCTGAGGATGCGTCAGCGAAAATCAGAAACGAAACGCATATTTCTGAGTCTGCCTATTCATTCTATTCGATCAAACCATTATCAAACGATTGATGGCAAGGCAAATTCCTACGTGGTAGGCGCGGGGATCACGCATCTATCTCAGTGCGCCCAAATACGAGCAGTTTTGTAAATAAGTAGAAAAGATAAAGGTTGGGAAAGCAGTGGTTGAAATGGTTAAATTTGAGCATGGAATGCGCTTGGAGAAAAACGTGTTTGCTGAAGTAAGGATGCTCAACACAAATGGAATTAAGTGCTGACAGAAGGGGTCTACAAGTTAACGTTAAGAAGTCTGGGTTTCTGATTTTGATGATTTCTGAAGAGGGTACAGAAAAGATCGCAGACGACTGTGACGAAAGAATCACATGAGTGGAGGGCCCCTATATCTTGGGAGCGATCTAGCGCTGACAGTAGCGTCGATCAGGCAGCAACTCAGGGAACAGTGCGGCAAGGATGAAATGGAGTGAGTCCAGCAGAATCCTCTGTGACAAGCGATGCTAAAAAACGCTCAAAACCGAATATCCTCATTGGTCAGCATGAGGTTGCTCAATGTAAGTCGACTACACGGCAGCTCTATAGGCTCTATAGGCGGTTTAAGTCCCAGTGTGCACTAATCTTCCTACATCGGATTGTGTAAGGAGTTGGAAAATTGTGGCTGGCTTGATAATGGTTCTATCGAATAGAATGGATAGGCAGAAGCAGAAACATGTGTTTCGTTTCTCGTTTTCGCTGACACTTCCTCAGAGGAGGCTGGTCTTGAAACACCTCATCGCAACCCATTTTCGAATGTGCTAAAAACCGGTGACGTTGTTTTCTGCTTCATTTTAACGGATCACGAAACAGAGCAATACTGTTACTGAACATGTTGGATTTGACAGTGGTCTTGAGCAAACATAACATGTAATACATTTGGATATAGTAAAAAATTCGGTTGTATTTGAGAA